CCTGATTCAGCCGCTGGTCAGTTTTAGCAGTGGCTGAATTGGGGAAGCTGGGGACAGAGCAGCTCCAATGGTCCGGCTGCCCGGAGCACTTCCGGGTTCCTGATGGTGCCGGAGCATCAGGAGTACCGGACCATCAGATGCCGGACCATCAGAGTTTTACTGTATATAGATTGCTTGGTGTTAAGGATTCAAACAAAAATGTGAGTGGGAGATACGGGTACTCAGCACCTCAGAGGGAGAGCTCTTACTTACAGTGAATTATAGATTTGGACTGTGATGATCACTATTTTGAGTCATCTATTTTTCTTTCCTCTTATTTTTCTAAAATTGTTGGATGTTACCTTCAGTTCTTTCTTAGCGTCTTGTTTTCATCATTAAGCAGTGTTGATTGCTTTTTAAAATCAAATTCATGTTAATTTGTATACTCCAGTGTTATCAAGACAGGAAATCATCATGGGCTTTAGCCACGTGCTTCATATACAAACATTCTGAATCTTACATATATGTTTGCTGCCACACACATACACTGTGTATTTCTTTTAACAGGTATTTTGAATTAAATTGAAGAGTCAGCTCATGCTATTGGGCCACAAACGATTGGTGCCTAAGCTGTTTTACATATTACAAATTGTATTTTAATGGGATAGTTGTGCTACAACATCTAGGGTGTTAGTAGTCCAAATGTTTTTCTACCTATTTATCTGCTAGTCAAACTGCTATTAAAAATGCAAATCTGAACGTTCCAGGGTCACCACAAAATTGGTGACAAAATTGGCTTTGTTTATGTGCCCTCCTCTAGTCCACAAGAGTTCTTCCTTTCTCTTAGACATGATTTTCTTAGCTTGTGGGAGAAATATTTCAAAACAAAACCTCTCTCAAGAGAGTATACTAAAGAATTAAAGAGAAAAGGCCTGATTCATCAGTGGAGATGCACCAAGCATGAATATGGCCCAATTGTTGTACAAGTAAGATTTGAGAACCTTTTCATAAGTTACTATCAAAGTAGACAATGTATGTGCTCCCTAAACTTCATAAACTCCCTATTCAAATTTTCAGGCAACTCTTTATTGGGCTGGTTTATAGTAGGAAATTTGAACTATTGCTGGAAAAGATTCTCTCGGGCTTTCCATGACAGAGGTGAAATTGGTTTAAGTCCTACTGAAGGATCTCAGCCCCCTTTCTAATCTTCAGGGTACACCAGCATTCCTCAAACCTATGTGCCCTGTTACCAAGTAGTGCATGCAGCAGATAGCCAGGCATGCATCTCTCTGCCACTAAACTATGCCAACGGTGTGTGTAAATCTGATTAATTTTGTCCATGCATTTCGAAAATTCCTCATTGTGTGAAAATTCTGACCAACAACAAGTAGTATTCACAAGGATGTTGCACCTTAATTTTAAAATTCAAATTTGAATTTATATTCAAAATGTAAACATATTGTATATATATAAAAATAAAAAGAGAGAGAGAGAGAGAGAGAGAATGAATTACTCAAATTATATGCTTAGCTCCCAAATCAACAACACACACACCCATCCCTCTCCAACAAAGCACTTAAAATAAGCACAGTTAAGTACATACAAAAATATAAGCGCATAATTGTCCATGGACCCTAGACTCCCATTATGATTAATAGGACCATGTTAGGCAGATATTTCCACTGGGCTTTGGTTTCAATGTATGGGAATTGACAGGTGTTATGGAACATAAATTAACACCAGGCAAGTTCCCTAACTGCTATTAGATGGACCACAGAGTTCCTGTAGAGCCTGTTCCCTAGATTATGTACAAGCTTTTAAGAATTTATGGGGGAAACAGATATACTTTTTTGTGACTTTGGTAAAGAAATGTAAGAACAAGTAGATGAAAAATAAAAATACTTATTTGTTATATATTACTCTCTAAATAAGGCATCTAGTAAAAATTGAGTATTTGAGTGTAGAGGGTTAAGTGTATTTAAAGACAAGGTCATCTCAGTCATTGTTGCTTTCATGACCAATACCCAAGATTTCCTGTCAAGGGCATATTCTTCTTTCCATTGTTAGCAATAGCAAACCTCCTTATGAAAACAGGAGCACAGCCCTGTTGCCTAGGCATAATACAAAATGGAGTCTGAGGGGTTCTTTTTCCCTCAGCTGTTTTTCCCGCCAAAACAGGTAGAGGAAGGCTGTGCACCCAGCACCAAAGGCTGTGCACACCTCCCCAATTGTCTGCGTGCGCTCCCATCCTTTGCACACAGCCCCCAAGTCTTATGCACCCAGCTCTAGTTCTCTGCACCCCGCTGTCTTCATGGTTTTCCTGCCATAAAGTGTTTATATATCCCTGTCAAAGAGCATTCGTGTTCTTTGGCCCCCTTCATGTCCTGTGTGCATCTGTAATCATAATTGTTACCCTGCGTCATCGTCTACCCGGAGAAGGCCAAGGTTCCAGCCTGCAGTCTGACAAGACTACCCCCTGCTAGTGACTTTAACCGGAATAAGAGAAGCCTTTTCCGCTCCCACTAAGACTTTGGGACTTATAACACTGTCTCGCTTACGGATACTCGGACAGGATCCGGTGCCACCAAGCGTCAGCTCGTAGGAGGCGAGAAGCATCCATCGAGGGATCGCTCCGTTAGTTCTCCCTTAAGGCTTTTCACTAGCCACGAGGTTGAAGGTCATGGACATCGAACATCAATCGCTGCTTTGAATGTAATGTATACCCTTGTGTGTGTGGGACTCTTCTATCTTCTTCTTTTCCAGGGTTAGGGTGGGACTGTTGCTAAGTTGTATGTTATTTGCTGATGTTTGATCTTACCTTTAAAATACATCGTTTGGCCCTAAATTCTTGTTGTTTGGTGATTTCTAAGCCGTTTCCTTGGTGATTAGATACAGGATACCAGGCTGAATCTGGCTTCTGTGGGAGGGCACCTTAGGCTCTAATTAAATTGCATAGCTCACAGCACAGTAATTGTTTACCCCAGCTCTCCGGGTAACAGCCCAAGTTTAGTTCTGTAACAATGGTAACCTTTTTCTAACATGGCTGAAGTCATTACTGTGATGATTTTCTTTGTGATTGGTAAAGCATTTAAAATTTAAAAAAAAATATTGCAACAGAAAAGCAAACCAAAAATAATCCATCACCTCACTTCTCTGTATGAAAACCTGATTATACAATTCTTTTTGTAACCAAGCCCTCTATCTCATTGTAACCAGTCACCTTCAGAAAAAAATTTGCTCCATGGTAGCACTGTCTTTATGTTGCTATTGAGATGTTAAATAAAAGGTTCCTCAGTAGTAGTAGCAACCGCTGTTTCTGCTGTGCCCCAAGAGTGTGCTACTTATTCTAATATTCATTTGTTAAATCATAACATTGGACTGCTTTACCTTGAATGTCTGCCAAACAATACTACAAGCCGTTAAGAATAGGAATACAAAAAATGACAAATGGATTCGTGGTAATACTGAAAAGGATACATCTAATTCACTCTGGAAGAAAAAAAAAAAGATAAGCATCAGTTTTAGTTAGCTGATATATGAATTAGCATTTACCTCGTGGTCATTAAGCATTACATTAAGGGATATGGATGCAGTTGTGCCCCTCACTCCCAGCAGAATGCTCCATTCCAAAATGAGTAGGACTACGTTGTCATATGTTCCTTCACTGTCTCTGATCAGGGACAATGTCAGGGGAGAAGTAAGAGAGGGAACAGGGCAACTGCCCTTGGGTCTAGCAATTTAAAAGGGTTCATGGCTCATGGACACTGCTGCCACTACCTCCACAGCTAGAGCAGCCAGAATCCTGGGCCATTTAAAATCACTGCCAGAGCTCCCAGCACCATGTTTCCTGCATCCCGAGCGCTGATGAAGGGCTGGCTGAGGAAGGCTAGTCTCCCTGCTGCGGGCAGGACCCTGGAACCAGCTCCCCTAGGGCCAGTGAAGTGTTTTGTCAGCCCTGTCTGTGGTTAGAATTCTGTCCAAGATGGGTGGAGTTTCCTGGAAGGGGGAGATGAAAGTTGCCACAGTGGCTATGTCTAGACTGCAGAGCTTTTCTGGGATACCAGAGGTCCAAGGAATGCGTCCGCTTTTCTGGAAAAGAAGTCAGAAAAGCAGATGTGTTCTTGTGGCATCCCTGTAAACCTTATTTTACAAGGAAAAAGGGATGTTCCAAAAGTTTTTCCAAAATTTGGCCCTGTGTAGATGGGCCAAATTTCAGAAAAGCCTCTTGTAGAAGTAAATTGTAAAAAGATAGGCAATTTGCAATATGCAAATTTCATTTTTTCTGATTTAACTTTGTAGTGTAGACATGGCTTGTGTTTCCTTATGCCTGGGTCAGGGTCCAGTATTCTACTCCTGATTTTTATTCAACTGTCCACTGACATAGTGCGAGGTTTGCTGTGGATTCACGATATCATATGGCAGACACTCAGAGCTCTGATTTATGGACCCTAAAGAAAAACATAATTCAGCCCTCTCCACTGACTGAGTTTGACATCCCAATTTAAAAGCTTTTTGTGTATCACAAAAATTGAACTTTAAGGCTGTGTCTAGACTGCATCCCTTTTCTGTAAAAGGGATGTAAATTAGACACATCGCAATTGCAAATGAAGCGGGGATTTAAATCCCCCCCGCTTCATTTGCATAAACATGGCTGCCGCTTTTTTCTGGCTCGGAGCTTTGCCGGAAAAAAGCGCCAGTCTAGATGGGGATCTTTCGGAAAATAAAGCCTTTTACGAAAGATTCTTTATTTATTTATTTATTTATTTTTAAAGAGGAATAAGGGATCTTTCGGAAAAGGTTTTATTTTCCAAAAGATCCCCATCTAGACTGGCACTTTTTTCCGGCAAAGCTCCGAGCCAGAAAAGAGCGGCAGCCATGTTTATGCAAATGAAGTGGGGGGGGGTTTAAATCCCCGCTTCATTTGCAATTGTGATGTGTCTAATTTGCATCCCTTTTACAGAAAAGGGATGCAGTCTAGACACAGCCAAGTTGACCATGTGAGCTGGGGGGCTAGTCACACTGACTTATTTTTAGTCAGCTTTGGTGGCTTTCTGAATCCTCAGTAAATGCCACAAAAGCCAAGTATATTCATACTTAATATCACAAATCACAGATGTGTTTTGAACTCCACAGAGGCATACATTCCAATCCAGTGTGCCTGATTATAGTTGTGTAGCTAGCATCAAAATCAAGGGGAAATGACAATGGCAAATCCCATAGGCAACCTTGATAAAACTGCTCCTGATTCTGTAAAAGTTCTGTGGTACAGCAGCATAAAGTCTAATAACTGAATTTAAAAATAGAAATTCCCTGACAACAACATAGCACATGCAAGAATATTTAAAATCATAAATCTAAAAATACAAATTTGACAAAATGTCCCTCTAGAGCAAGACAGATGTTCTTTTCTTTCCCACTATTTTTTAATAGTGGTTGCTTTTCTCTTATGTCGTCACCATCACAAGTTAACAGTGCTGCTAGAATTCTGTAAATACTCAGAGTTACTGGTAATTTAGTACAGTACAGATTTATTCCCTTGGCTCTGGTTTCCACCACAACCTTTAGTTGGACTTACAAGCCTATTATACAGTGACCTGATACTTATTCTAATGTAATATGCTCTGAAAATACAACAATGGTATGCTATGTGATTTCTCTATCCTTATACAGTATGGGTATGTCTACACTACCCCACTAGTTCGAACTAGGAGGGTAATGTAGGCATATGCACTAGCAAATGAAGTCCGGGATTTGAATTTCCCAGGCTTCATTTGCATAAGCGGGGAGCCGCCATTTTTAAAACCCCGCTGGTTTGAACCCCGTGCAGCGCGGCTACACGGGGCTCGAATTAGGTAGTTTGGACTAGGCTTCCTAATCCGAACTACCGGTACACCTAGTCTAATTTACATCCCTTTTACAGAAAAGGGATGCAGTCTAGACACAGCCTAGTTCCACGAGGTGTACTGGTAGTTCGGAATAGGAAGCCTAGTCCGAACTACCTAATTCGAGCCCCGTGTAGCCGCGCTGCACGGGGTTCGAACCAGCGGGCTTTTAAAAATGGCAGCTCCCCGCTTATGCAAATGAAGCCCGGGAAATTCAAATCCCAGGCTTCATTTGCAAGTGCGGTATGCCTACATTACCCCGCTAGTTCATTACCCCGCTAGTTCGAACTAGCGGGGTAGTGTAGACATACCCTATGTCTACAATGCAAAAAGGGAGAAAAGCTAACCTGTGTTAGCTTACAGATTCAAACAGTAGTGAAGACACAGCAATGTTTTGCACTGGATTCCATGGCTCACTCACCACTCTGCTGAAATATCTGTCCAAAACCTCCACAAAATTATGAATTAGCTCATATACAGCCATCTCATTCTGAAATATAAATGGAAAGCAAGTTAAATATTAAATTAATGGATAAACATGCAATTCATTCATGTTATTTTAATGTGAGGTGTGTTTTTTTGAAATGCAGACAGAAAATAATTCAGCGAGTAGCACAAATAAATATACTACCTTAGGCTCTCTTAGTAGTACCTGTAGATATATCATTATTATATGCTATATCTAAGCCAAACCACATGCATAGGTAGTATGTCAGTACAACTCTGACTGACCTAGAAATCATTACAGCAGGGGTGGAGCACTTGAGGCCTGTGGCCCATATGTGGCCTTCCAGCTTGCTTGAATCCAGCCCCTGATGCTCAGGGACCATACCCCTCCCCCACTAGGGAGTCCGCACTGGTGCTCCAGCTGCACCTCTTCTCTCCCCCTCCCCCCATCAACCCCATAGCTAGGCTAGAGAATACAAAATCTACTAGGCTGGGCCCCCCTAGTCTCTAGTGTGCAATGGGAATGTCTCCTCAGTTGGGGTACCACATCAGTGAGGGTTTGAGGGTTCCCCCCCCCTCACTTGTGTGCCGTTCCCGAGTGATTTTTCTGTGGGTCAGCGGCCCCTGACCCAAAAAAGGTTCCCCACTCTTCCATTACAGCAATGAGTAGCTAATATCCTTTTATGTTACAAGCTTTTGTATTCGTTTCCAGCAGCACTCGATCTGTACAAAGTATGAACACTAATGGCAGCTGCTTGCTTTTCTGGACCCATTTCTAACCCCAGTAAAATCTAGCACAATGAGTGGTCAGAAAGGCATCTTAGTCTAGGTATCTGGCTTGTCTGTAATGATGCTGATATCTCTTGTGAAACCCCAACTCTGTTTGCAAGGTAATATTAGTATCTTATCAGGAAACAGTCACGTGAAATACAAAGAAACTACTACTTTTCCTACACACCACTTTTTAGGTGATAGAAATAAGGGTGTTTGATAGAATGACATCTTGAAATTTAACAGAAATTGTGAAACTGCATTGTGGAAAGATGGAATACAAGGCTGTAGTGAGGATGTATAGCCTCCCTCAGACAGATGCAGAGGGAATGCCACAAGCTGCCTAGTTGGTGGAGCCAGGAGGACCATATCCTGCACACTGGAAGTGGAGGAGTGGAACAGTATAAAAGGCTGGCGCAACAGCTCAGTTGGGGTTGAGGACTGAGTTGCTGAGAGAGACAGGTGAGTCTTCCCTGCTGCTGGAGTGGGATGCCAAGAAGAACCAAGGCACTCAAGGGCCTGCCTGAGCTTCCTGAGACCCCTGACATTCTGCCTAAGGAAGCTAGACAACAGTTTGGTTAAGTGCTGGTCTGATAGAAGGTCAATGTGTTGCAGACGGAGCTCCCCAGTGATTCAGTGGTGGAACACTCTGCCATTATTATTATTATTATTAGGGTCCTAGACTGGTAGCAGTACTCCTCCTCCTTAGTCCATGAAACCTGTGCTCCTCAGAAACCCCTTCTAGACCCTATAGGCCAAGGATGGACAATAATTTGTGAGGGGGGCAGGAGGGAAGATTTTAGCAATTGATTAAGGGCTGTACTTTTCTATGGAGGGGGCTGCAGGGTCTGGGGTGGAGTTGGGGTGCAGAAGGGAGCTTGGGTTAGGGGATTGGGGTACAAGAGAGAGTGTAGGGTCAGAGGGAATTTAGGTGAAGGGAAGGGATTGTGTCCTGGGACAGGGGATTGGGGTGCAGGATTTGGGGGGGCGGTATGGGTGCAGGAGAGGGCTCCGACCTGGTAGAGGAAAGTAGGAAGGGGTGCAAGGTCTGAAAGGGAGTTGTGACCTGGGGGAAGGTGGGTGCAGAGGGTTTGCATGATGACCTTGGGCAGGATGGGGTGGTGACTGGGGCAGGGAGTTGGAATATGAGATGGGGTGGGTACTAGAGGCAGGCTTTGGCTGGGAGGTGCTTATATAGGTGGCTCCCAGCCAACAGCCCAGCAGGATATGGAGGCAGGCTCTTTGCTTGCCACTGTCTCAGGCTGCTCAAAATGGCAGCTTGCTCACTCCATGTGCCTTTTTGCTCTCTGGATGGGGAAGGTGCTGCTCCCACCCCAGCCCAATCATTGCAGCTCCCTTTGGCTGGTTTCCAGCCAATAGGAGCTGCGATGATTGGGCTAGGAATAGGGGCAGTACTTGAAGTCTCTGCCCTGCAAGGGGTGTCAGCAAGCCATTTTGAGCAGCCTGAGACTGCAGCAGGTAGAAAATCTGCCTGGGGGTCCCAGTGGGGTGGCTGTAGACTGGATCAAAAGGCTTGGTAGGCCAGATCCGGTCCACAGGGCATTTCTTGCCCACTCCTACCATAATCAGTGATTGTGGCTCCAGCTATGCCTGAGTACAGGCCAGAGCCTTGTTTGTGGTCCCTCCCTGCTTGAAGGCTGGGGCCCATTCAAAAATGCTAATTCCCCTCCCCTTTCTTTGTTCTGAGAGTACTGTGAAGAGGTATGGCCTCCCTCAGAGGTCGATGCAGAGGGATGGCCCCTACTGCCTACAGCAATACAGTCAAAGATCAATTTAAATCACATTGTGCTTACTTTTTTCCCCACCGATTAAATGTAATGTCTTACCTCTGTTTCATTGATTCCAACCACTATGAAAAGGGCTGCATATTGTCGATACACCAGCTTAAAATCCTTATACTCAATGAAAGAGCACTAGATAAAAACACAAATAGTTAAACATTAACTACCACATTAGTCGTAAGTTGTTACTAGACACTATGTATTATTAGGGATGTGCAAATATGTAAATGGTTAACCCATCAGTCTAGGTTTATCTGTTAACCTTCATGGTGATACAGAGGCAGCAGCGTGGGGGGAGGCGGCTCCTTGGGAGCCAATACTTGCAGAGTCCCTCCCACCAGTGTAAATGTGTAATCACTGAATATTTTTATAAACATGTAACTGCTGAAATTAACATTTTAACATCGCTAGTATTTATTAAATATACTGTAATGTATACACACAGGGCCTCATCTCTCATTTACAGAAGTTTCATGTATGTAACTTGTTAACTTCACTGATTTACACTGGTTTCAAGGAGGAAAAAATCAGGTTCACAAAGTACCAAGGGTTTCTCAGTCTTCACCCCATAATGTCCTTCCTGAAGTGAAGAAAAAAATCAATGAGTTATTAGGGCCTTTCACCTGTGGCTCTCAAAGCACTTTACATCAAGGAGAGTTTTATTCACACTCTATACATGGGGAAAACTTGAGGGACACAATGCTAGAATGATTTGCTCACGATTCAACAGCATCCCGATCAGTTGAGCATCCCTTTTCTTTTCACTTACCTCTCCACACAAAAAAGATTTCAAAGACGACAGGAAAAAATCATTGTTAGGTAGAAAGTTATATCTAGTTTATGAATGATGTTAGGGCAATGTGTTTCCATTTCTTGCTTTCTTTCTTTCAATTTATGGGTGCGGAGGGCAGAAAAACATCATTTCTTCATTTATATGTTGTTAAGGCATGAGTCCCCAGCTGGTGGTGTTACACAGTGTCACAAGACCCTTCTTCTTCAAAGGTGAGCAATGTTAAACTTTTTTTAAATGTTGATTATTATTAATTTGAGATCTATTGTAAAAAGCAGTAGAGTTTGCTCTCAACCTTAATCTCTCTAATTAAGGAGAAATTAATTATTGTGGCAAAATTATTTTCAAAACTGGGCAATGGTGCCTTTGCTGAGATTCTGGAAAGAGAGGATTGCCAGTGTGATGTCTGGCCATCTGTGTTCTAGTACTGGTATACAGAGTGTAAAATAAATAAGGGGGGGCAGTAAAAATAAACCCACATTCGATGTAACTGATTTCTCCCTTGATAGGAAATGGATCTGCAAAGCCCTGCCCACTGTGCAGTATTGTCAAATCATGTCACTTTATTGTGAGTCTTGAAATATTTAACTTTTTCCTTTAAGCCTCAACTCTTGGAGCCATGTAATTGCATGTACAGCCAGTCTGAGGTACAAAAACATAGATTTATGACCATTTGTCCTTACGAACAACCTCCCATTAAGCGCAGCCCTGAGTTACGAATGCAATCTGCGCTTACGAACAGCATGGTCCCATTGAAATGAATGGGGTCCAACTTACAAACAGATCGAGTTATGACCAAGTGCTTGGCATGTAACTCGTTCGTAAGTCAGGGACCGGCTGTATATCCCAGCTTTCTTTTTTTAAAAATATAGATACCTTTATAACCCTTGTGGTTGCAGATCTGAAACTCAAATGCTCAGAAACCAGAAGGCAAATAAAACCTCAAGTTTGCTTTTTAGAATTTTATGACTTAAGATACTCTTATGATTTTTAGGGTCTGATTCATGATTTCTGAATCCTTGTGGCTGACATTACTACTTGGCAGAGCTGTGATAATTTCTTTTACATATAGTTCAATGTGCAGGGTCAGGTGACAATAACTAGGCAAGGGAGATTAAGAGATTCTGCTTCATATTTCTTATGTGCTGCCTGCAACCCATCCCACATTTAACTAGGGGTGCTTGTAGGTCAAAGCATTTCAGCTGGTCTCAGTTCCTATAGTCTACTATATATTTGAGAGCATTTGTACATGAATTCTGTCTGTTCAAGAATTCCTGCTAAACATGAAGAGCTTGGACCACCAAATTTGGTATACAGCTTCCTCTTATAATAACTTAAAGTAAGGTAAGGGTGTGATTGTGTCTGGACAATGGGATGTGCCTGGAATGGGATTTTTCCCCCTCAAAACTAAACAGAAAAGAGACAATCACCAGGCATGTGAAAGCAGGTGGCTGGGGATGCACCCCTAAGTCCATATGGAACTGCTCCATCCTTGAGCCTCCCACCTCCTAGGTGCCTCCAGTGAGGGTGGGCAAGGCAAGGAGGCTGAAGCTTCCCTCTTCCCTGCCCCAATTCACACAAGAACATTGCTTGCTGCTTCCCTTCATCAGGGGACGAGGGAAAAATGCACAGTTTGCTGAATTCCTCACTCTGGAGAGCACAGAGGGCAGACTAACCTGGATCTGCCCCCGCCAGGTGACATGCACCTCTCCTCCAGCTGTGCTGCTACAGTTGCAGCGGCCATGGAGAGGCCCTTTTCACTTGGCCCCAAGCTGCTGCAGTAAGAGGCAGTTAGGGTAGTCCTCTCTCCCCAGGGCAGCTCTACCCCAGACCTATGATTTCAATGAAGCATGTGTATTTTAATTTTATTTTCCAAAAACTAATTGAGTTAAGGACCTGAGCAACACTGAGTAAATCTTCTAGTAACATATAAATGAGAGAGAAGAACTATGACGTAGCCAGGGCTTGATGACTAGCTCTACTGCAGTCAGTGGCAAAACTCCCATTGCTTCAACAGGGCCAGGCAGGATTCCATCCAGACTATTTCATGCTTTACACATCAGAACTAACACCTTCAGTTGCACCCAAAAATAGGCTGTCAGTGCAGGCTGCAGATCACATGTTCAATGATTTCCCTGAGGCTACCTCTAGACTGCAACCTCTTCTTTCGAAAAAGTGAGCCGCTTTTTCGAAAGAGAGCACCACAGTCTGGATGCTCTGTTTCGAAAAAGCCCTGTTTGCATTCAAGAACGCCTTTTTTCAAAAGAACACTTTCGAAAAAAGGCGTTATTCCTTGTGAAATGAGGATTACCGCCATCGAAAGAAAAGCTGTGTTCTTTCGATTTAATTTCGAAAGAACGTGGCTGTAGTCTAGATGCAGGTGAAGTTTTCAAAAAAAGGCTACTTTTTTTGAAAAAACCCTGCAGTGTAGACACAGCCTGAGAGAAGTACCACTATGCTGAGTGGACAGAATTTCTACACTAGTTGAAGCCTTTGAGTGTTCTTTGCACACAGTAGAATATAAAACATACAGAATAATCCAATACAGAGCTAACAAAAGTACAGGAACCCTGTCACTACCCTGTACTGACTCATGAGTAGGAGTACTGGCTCAAACAAGCCCTCTACACTTGTACAACAGGTCTAGAATTCTCCAATATCTCTGTAAAAAAAAGAGAGACTTTTGTATTCGGTAAAAGGGAAGATATTTAAAAATCCCCAAAGTAATTGAAGTCCTAGAAGTGAAAACACAATCGTTTTCTTAACTTTGGAGTTGGATAAGCCACACCATTTTTTTAGTCATTTGACCTTGAGAGAGGCTGTGTGGCCAAAATATTTCAGGAATACAGAGAAATTCTTGCACTTCTCTTTAATGCTAGTTTTGTTTCTATTATGTAGTATATGTCAATTTCTATAGAATGTCTGGAAAGGAAATGTCATTCTTGAGAGAAGCTGGTTCTTGCACTACATTTACAATAAACTAACTGTAGTGAAAAAGAACACAGATTTCCGTATGATCATTCATGTCAAGAAATACATTGGCAGGAACACCTCACCTCGCACACAACATTCTAATATTTCTTGAATGTAGTTCACCATGTAATATTCCCTTTTTTGGTTCAATTTCGATCAGAAGAAAAACCAAAACAAACAGACACACAAACAAACATACTTGCTCTTTTGAACGGGAAAGGCAATTTTTGATTACTTCAGCTTCTAGCATTGTCCGCTTAGGAATTTCCACATGTTCATAATACCTGGAGAGTCTTGTTTGGCCTTGTTTGTTCACCATGAGAAAAAACTTTATCATTTTTCTGGTCAGCTGAGAAATAGTCTGTTACAAGATGTAGGTAAGCGGAAACTGTATTTCTGAAGAAAAACAACAGAAGACACATGGGAGTGTTATAACACTTTTGAATAAGCATTTAGTTGGTTTTGACTTTTATATTAACTGGGTTTGATGTCATTGTACAACTGACGTAAGAAAGAAGAAATCAAGTCCATCTTTCCTATCTTATTGATGTTTTTAATTTGAACTCACTATTGCATGAAACTATTGAACAATTAGAAGCCCTACCAAGATTTTTCTACTGTGCAATAACACCAAAAATCTCAAACTAGATTTTTTCAGATTTTTGCTGTAAAGGCAAATATAATTGTACTAGTATGGAAGAGAAATAGGCTAAGAAAACTTAATGTAAGAATTAGTATGTTAATGTCTAGGATCATCAAAGCCTATGTAGGATTAGTCTGAGTTTAGTATTTGTGCAGTTCACTGATATGCTGTATTTTTTCCTCAACCAAATTACTTTGAAAATGCTTAGTAAATGTTCTTTACTTCTGGGAAATTGCTCTTAAAAGTATAAACCATATACATAGGTGCTATCCTTTTTCTTTGCAGTACAGTATCATAAATCAACATTTGTATGTTAAAGGATTTTAATTATTAGAAAATATAAATATAGGCCAGTATTTTCCTCTGCATTCTGTGCATGCTGGATACTTTGGGTCAAACTCTGGCTAATAACTGAGTCTATGCCTATGCAGGAACAACTTTGGAGCACAGGAAAGCACGGAACAGATGGTTCTTCTGCTCCTGGACTCTTCCAAACATGTCACTCTATGACTGTAGATATTGAGTAGTGGGGGCTTAGGTGACAGGAGCATAGCAACATTTCACCTCATTGGTGTGATGGTCTGGTAGTGTATAGGGATGTTACATTTCATTTAATCAACTAATTTCATTTATTTAATCTATTAGTGAGTATTGACTAACCCCCACTGCGGCTCTACCTTTTAAATGTATTAAGAGCCTGATGACTGGTGCGCAGCTGGGGGGACCTGGTGTGAATCAGGCCAGCTAATTCCTGGCTTGTGCTGGTGTCATGATCATGAGGGTCAGCCAGCAGCATGGGGATTAAGGGATGAATTATACCTAACTCAGGTAGAGTTAGACAATAGGAATGTAGGTAGGAATCTCAAACTAGGACAAAGGAATTTTTGGGTTTCCCTCCTTTGTCTCTGGGTGTAGTTTCTCTCCAGCTATTGAAGGGGACAGGATGTCTCCCTCTAAGAAAATACTCTTCACATCTGTAAGTAGGATAAAGTTTAGATAAATGCCTTAGGTTTTATTGTTTGGGAAATGGGATCTGGTCTGTGCATTTAAAAATGGGTTTTGCTCTCCTTTGTAACTAAGTTCCTGGCCCATGGTAAATTTCTCCTCTGTGAGTATATTATTTTGTTACTGTTCCAGCTAGTCATTACGCTTGCAACAGGAATATTGTGGTGATGATAAAAGTTCTCTCTCTTTTCTTTTTATTAACCTGATAGTGGTTAATTTGTGTGTCCTAGTTTGTACTTTAGGGATGAGATTTCCCAAGTAGTCTCTCCCTGGTTGCTTTATTAATATTTGGGTAGTGGCAGCAGAGATTTTTTCCCCAAAATCTAGGTTGTTAAGATTTTAGGGGGAAGTTTTATACCAAAGCCTGGTAGATAAGGTTTGGGGTACTTTTGCTGGCCCCCAGTCCTGCATTTATTGTGCCAGAGTGGGGAAGGAGCCATGACAGCTGGGTTCCCCTGCTGTGTTTCAGCCTTTGAAACGTATTCATTAGCTGATTCCCAGCTCGTGCCTGGTCCCTGCTACCCCCTGCAGAGATGGTGCTGGGGGAACCAGCTTTTAAGTCAGCTCCCCCCAGCAATGGTTAGAGGCAGCAAAGGGCAGAAGAAACGACTAGTTGAGGGACTAGTCAACCATCTTATAAGCTTTAGCTTATTGGATAGTCAACTGGTTGACTAGTCGCTTACATCCCTAATAGTAAAATCTTTGGGAAACACAATACTAAGACAACCCACCAACTACACTTTGTCTTTTTTATGACTTGCCATTACATACCGTATTTTCCGGCGTACAAGGCTACTGGGCGTATAAGACGACCCCCTAATTTTTTAGTTAAAAGATAGGTTTTCGTCTTATACCCCAGCACCCCTCCGCCTCCCCGGCTTTGCTCCCAGTGTCCCTGGTCTGCTGGAGACGGTCCCCAGCAGACCAGAGGCACCGGGAGCAAAG